GGAAGTTTCCCTTTGAATATTCCTTAAATTTTATAAATACCTTTGAGTATTTCGAAAGCCCCATCAAAACGGTAACAGTGTCATAAAAAATGAATCATGACACATACATAATCTAGACCAAGTGAAAATAACATAATTATGTTATTTTCACTTATATAAATACTATTAAAAGAACTAGAATAATAATATAATCTGGTACAAAAAGATTTATATCTTAAAAAATAAATGCTTCTAATAAAAATCAACTAATCTTTATGATTTTTTTATACTAAATAAAGAATAATTTAAACTAATTATTTATATTATTTTTATTATTATTTTGTATTTTTATTCAATAAAACAATACTTTTCTAAAAAAAATAAAAATTATATTTTAAGTATTATTTTTATCAATTTTAATTAGAACTTCAAATTACACAAGCATATATTTGATAAAATATATTTCAAATTTTATAAATTTTATATAATAAATTTATGAAATAAGAATTCAAAAAAGTTATTATTAATAAAAATTTTGCTTATGAAATATATATAATTAAAATATAAATTTTTTTGCACCAGACTATAATAATAATGGAAATTATAAAATCGACTTTGATTATCAACCAGGATCACTACTATTTGTTGTCAGATCTACAGTGCATGTATGGATAGCGATAATGCAAATATCAGTATCGGTATGGTATATATATGGATAGTCTAGAGAAAACTACATGCACTGTATTGGGTATGGGTTGGCTTTATGTAGCATAATACAATATAACAATAAAAATCGAGAGTTTATAAGCCTACCAGTAATATGTGTATATATAGGCTCATGTAGCGTTAATTAACATTACGGTAGAATTTCTGGGTATAATTGATGATCGACAAGATATACTAAATTTTGGTTGTGTCATGGTTGTGTCAGTTGGCTAGGATATTACATGTGACTCAATCACTTGCTATTGTAATACCTGTACTGATCATAACGATAAGTGGATTTTTAAAATTTTATTTTTCCGGGTCCCTAGCTATGATATGAGCAAATGGACAAAATCAATGAAACATATGCAAGTGTACCAATGAAGAGTTCATTGGTTTATTGGTTCAGGAGCAATTATAGTAAATCCGCCTCGATAAACCAATAATTCAGTTTTATTTATTCGCTTGGCAAAACGAGATTCGGGCGGTTATAATACGTATGCCAAATATGCAATACAATTTACATGTGCATAAATAATATTCGAGGTGCAACAATTGACAATCATGACAGATATAGACAAATGTTATACTTCGCTAACGCGTTTCTCACTTGCTGTTGTATTACTACTACGAATAGTTTAACGCGTGATTCAAATATTTAAGTATGGGTTGTGAATGTGGTTTCTCTCTTCTTTTTTTCACCTTTTGAGACATTCATCCACTATTGAGTGAACTTTTACAGGATCACTCGCTCTATCTAATTGTAGTCTCTGAAATTGAATAAAAAATATATCTAAAAAAAAATTGTATTTCTTGCTATTATGTCATCGACAAATCCTGATCAAGATCCTTCTCCATCAAGGGAAAGTGTGACGACTACAAGAACTATTGAGACTACAGACCCGAATACTACTATAATAGAACATATAATCGAGGAAACTGAAATCATCGAAACTATTGTTGAGACAGAGGAACTTCCCGAAACAAAATCAGAATCTGAGACTGTTGCCAAAATTATTAGCAGCACCCCAACAACTACCACTACTACTACTACTATTACCACATCTACTATCACTAATAATGATGATAATAACAAAATAGAGGAGTCAATATCTTCTTTCAATACTACTACTAATCAACAGCAAAACTTGATAGCTAAAACCAGTTCTTCAGCTGACATCAGTTCTTCTGACGTAAATACCACAATTGTTGAAAAGGAACCGATTCAAATTATGGAAATTACTCCTAAAGTCAGCGAAGAAGTTTCTCATACTACAAGAGCACCAAAGAAAGATATCACAGAGATAGAGCCAGTCGAAAAAAATATTACACAAGAAGACTATTCTGATCATGAAATAGTCAATAATACACAAGAAGTCTCTCCTCAACCTACAAAAATTCAATTTATCGCTTTAGAAAAACCTGAACGTACAAAAACTATTGAACCTCCTCCAAATAATGCAATAAAAGTTCAAGCTCCCCCCAAAGTGATCGAAAATGAAGACGATAAAAAAGATGTCAAGAGTGTTGATATCGTAAGTATCGTATTCAATTCTAAGAAATCAAGTTTTTTTTTTAGCATTGTATCAATTATTTTTTGCTTTTATTATTTAATAGAACGAGCATCTTCTCACAGCTGATGAAGTGGCAGATCGATACAAAGTTACGATCAATACTTCGAAACCTTTGGAATCTCGTGGGCTTGACTCGAAACGAGTTGCCGATTTATTAAAACAGAATGGTCAAAATATTCTAACGCCACCCAAAAAAAAGTCAGCAATCTTTAAATATTTGGAATGTTTGTCTACCCTATTTAATGTTTTATTAATCATCGCTGGCATTCTAATGTATATTGTGCTGGCTGTGGATTATGAAAATAATAAAGCAAATGTAAGCTTCCATTTCACTAAACATGGTTCTTAATTTATTGAATGCGTATCGCAATGTCACTAAAAATCAATCTTTATTTCCTAGATTTATATTGGGGCAATTTTAATTGGTGTAGCGTTGCTTAATGCTTTTATCGAATTCTATCAACTTCAAAAATCCGCTGCCATTCTCGAGTCGTTCTTGAGCTTAATACCGCAAAAATGTAGGGTGCTTCGTGAAGGGAAACTAAATCAAATTCAAGCAGCCGATCTTGTAGTTGGTGATATTGTATCTGTGGGGATGGGCGATAAAATACCAGCAGATTTATATTTATTTTCAGCAACTGATATGAAAGTCGATAATTCATCTTTAACTGGTGAAGCCGATCCTCAAGAACGCACTCCTCATAACAGTCATAAGAATCCTTTAGAAGCGACAAATCTATGTTTTTACGGTACTTTATGTGTATCAGGTGAAGGCTATGGAATAGTTATTCGTGGCGGTGATCATACTGTATTGGGTCAAATTGCTGGTCTCACCGCCGGTGAAGAAAAGAGCCAATCACCATTATCTGAGGAAATTGATAATTTCGTCAAAATCATTGCTACCATTGCAATTGTTACTTCTGTCGTGTTCTTTTTAGTTGGCTTAAAAGTTTATGATGGTAGCATTTCATTGACTCTAAGTTTTGCCATCTCAATTCTTGTTGCTTGGGTTCCACAAGGATTGCCGGCGACTGTTACTGTATTGCTTGCTATCGCCGCCAAAAAAATGGCTGCTCAAAATGTACTAGTAAAGGATCTTCAAGGTGTAGAGACACTCGGCGCCATTACTCTTTTGGCAACCGATAAAACAGGAACTCTCACTCGAAACCAAATGACCGTCACTTATATCTGGTCATCACTTAACATCTACTCAGCTTCGCGTGGTGCACAAAATGATCCAAATATTGCTTTCGATTTAGATGCACCCGGAATCCAAGAAGTTATTCATATTTCTTCCTTATGTTCTCGAGTAAAGTTCGATAGAACTGATGTTCCATTTAATGAACGCCAAATTCTCGGTGATGCAACTGAAACAGGTTTAATAAGATTTGCCGCTCAAAACCTTGACGATTTTGATGCACTTATTACTGCATATCCTAAAGTATTTGAAATTCCATTCAACTCGGAAACAAAATGGGCACTTACAATTCATACTAAACCACATGATAATGGTGATTTAACGTTGTATATCAAAGGTGCTCCTGAACGTGTTTTAAAACTATGCACCACAATTCTTTTCGAGAATAAAGCAACCCCATTGACTGATGAACATAAAGAAAAATACAATGAAATATATGAGTTCATGGCATCCAAAGGACACCGTGTACTTGCATTTGCACAACTTCTTTTACCTCGATCACAATATCCAGAAAATTATCAATTCAAAAAAGAAGAAAAAAATTTTCCACTGGATGGATTTTGTTTTGTTGGATTAGTATCTCTCGAGGATCCTCCAAAACATGGTGTTCGTGAAGCTATTGGAAAATGTCGTACAGCAGGAATTCGTGTTATGATGGTAACTGGTGATCATCCTTTAACTGCTGAGGCGATTGGCCGCAAGATAAATTTAATGTTGTCTGATACTAAAGAATTAGTAGCAAAACACACTGGCCGTCCGATTGAATCAATACAAGAAGATGAATATAATGCAATTGTAATCCACGGGGAACAAATTGACACTTTAACTGATGAACAATGGGACAATATATTCGCAAAGAATGAAATTATTTTTGCACGAACTTCACCAAAACATAAACTTGAAATTGTCAAACGTGCCCAATCAATGGGTCATATTGTCGGTGTAACTGGTGACGGTGTCAATGATTCCCCGGCATTGAAAAAGGCTAATTTGGGTATAGCCATGAATCAATCTGGATCCGATGTATCGAAAGAAGCAGCTGCTATGATTTTATTGGATGATAATTTTGCTTCTACTGTTCAAGGCATTGCAGAAGGACGTCTTATTTTCACAAATTTGAAAAAATCAATTCGATATACAATTTCACATTCCACACCCGAAGTCTTTGTGACTTTACTATATGTTCTTATTCCAATTCCTCTACCATTACCACCTCTTCTCATTTTAGTTATTGATTTGGGCTTCGAATTATTTATTGCACTTTCTTATGCGTGGGATAAACCAGAGAGCGAGACTGGACTTATGAAATTACCACCTCGAAAGCCAGTAACTCCCACAACTATTAATCGATTTCGACGTCTGGCCCTGGAACGTACTCCAACTGTCATAGATCCGGGAACTGGAAAACCGATTGTTCCGTCGAGAATATCAAGGTTCCTGCATAGTATAAAGAAATTGTTTAACTTGCGATGGTGGGCTAATAAGTTTGAGAGCACAGAAGGTGAAGTTTTGGTTGATGGTGAACTCTTGAGTTGGGCATATCTCGAAATTGGTGTGATTGAGGCCATTTGCAGTATACTCGCTTTCTTTGTCGTACTCAATCATCATCATATCACTCCTTATGATGCACGTCAAATGCAAACACGTGGAAGTTACTTTAAGGATGATTCAGAACCCTATTCAACTGCCAATGGCTACGTGGTTACAGGGCCCAAACAAAAAGAAGCATTAGGTCAAGCTGCTGCCATTGTATACCTTTCCATTATGATTCAACAAATGTTCAACTTATTTGCCGTTAAAGGCAGATATCGACTTCCTTTCGGTAAATTTATTTTCTCAAATCCCCGTAATTTTGCTGGTATACTATTTGGTGCGATTTTAGCCATGTGCATTGTATACATTCCTCCATTTAATGAGCCATTTGGTACACATTATAAACTCAGTCCAATATTTTGGCTGATACCTTTTGGCTTTGGCATTTTCATTTTGATATATGCCTGCATTCGAATACTGGTACTGCGGAGGGGACGACCAGTTCATTGGAATCCCGAAATTCAAGGCTTACAAATGTATCCCACTGTACGCTCGGTGGAAAGAAAAGCATAAGGATAATGATAAAAAATCATACTACATGATTTCTTACATTCATTTAGTTTTAGTATTAATCAACTTATTAGACCTCTTTTCCTATATATATCGTGATAATTTTTCGATTCATCTTGTATTGTTTAATAAAGTCGAAAAGAACTAGTAAAATTAGTAACAAAAAAAATATTTTTCCACGTAGAATCAATAATTTAATAATAAATCAGGAAGATAACCCTGTACATATATAATAATAATGGATTGAATAAGCAATCAATTTTCTTTTAATTTGCATCGGAAGAATAGTCTAATAAAGAAAATCAAATTCGTTGACTGGTAATCGTATTACAAGATATTTATACTATATTGCTCAGGAATACTTATTTCAGAGATATATCATTCGTCAAATTTAATTTTTTTGCCTTGACTTGCTACAATAAAACCTCGATTCGCTGCTGCTGCTGGACTAAATCCTGCACCTCTACCGCCTCTTCCTCCATTGAAACCAAGTCCGCGATGACCACCGCCTCGACCTCCACGATTCCCCCTACGATTACTACCACGACCTGAGAAACCACCTCCGGAATTGCCATTAGCTAAAAGAAAGTAAAAAATTAGTTTATAAAATTTGCGTATTATATTAAACTTTCTAATGTCTAACTACATACCAGAGTCGCGTTCGGAAGCAAAGTCGATACGAACTGTGCGCCCCATTAGCTCTTTACCATTCAATTCAAGTGCTGCTTTCGCGGCATTCGTATCTGTGAAGTTAACATAGCCAAACCTAATAAGAACAAACAATTTAATTAATAAAAACTATGCAAAGGATTCAGCAAAAATAAAAATAATTAACCCTTTAAGACGTTGAGTATCTGGGAATTTCGGAAGTCTTATGGACGTTACTTCACCACATCCCTCGAAAAATTCGGCGAGTTGATTTTCGTTGATACTATAGGGCAAACTACCAACGTATACAGTGGAGCTGACTTGACTATTTCGACGATTGGTAGGTGAATGATTATTGTCATTGAAGTTAAAGCGGTTTTTTGACGGAGATTTTGATTGAGCTAAATCAATTCTGATATCTCTTCCGTCTACGTTTTGGCCAGATAATTCCATGGCGGCCTGAGCATCTTCAGAATTTGCAAAATCTATGTATCCAAAGCTAAAGTTTTTTACGTAATACAATAATTAATGAATTAACCAATATTATCATTTATCAATGATATAATTACTCACCCCTTTGATCTACCAGTTTCTCGATCGGTTATTATACGTACATCTACAATTTCGAATTGAGAAAATACTCTTTGCAAAGATTCTTTGTCTGTATTATATGATAAATTTCCTACGTAGATAGAATTTCCTTGATCAGAGGAACCATTTGTTTTTGGTTTTTTGAAAGGAGTGGATTCTTGTTGTGAAGCTTTCCGTTTATTATCGTTATCGATATTATTATCGAATTTTGAAGCTTGTTGTGGTGTATCATTATTGTTGCTTGAGTTACTTTCAGATGACGACGATGATGATGAAGGGGAATTATCGGCTTTAGATTTTTTGTGTTGCGGTACGTCAATGACTTCATTATCGGATTCATCAGGGTTTGCATCACTGGAATCATTATTTGAAGATATTCTTTTTTTTATCTGTGCTGATTTTTCTTCCAGTTCTTCACTTTCCGAACTGCTATCAGAAGAATCATCACTTTCTTCTTCATATTTATCATTAGATTGCGGCTTTTTCGAATCAGTTTTTTCTTTCGAGATATTATTAGAATTATCTTCGGATTCTTCCTCACTACTATCTTCGTCAGTATCACTATCTTCAGAATCTTCGTCATCAGAAATTTTCTTTATTTGACTTTTTTCATAAGGCTTAGTAACTGTCTTTTCAAGTTTGGGTTCGTCAATCGAAGAGTCGTTAGACGAAGCTTCACTTGAGCTATCGTTACTTTCAGAAGAATCTGACATTTTTTCGTCTTCTGAATCAGGGATTATTTTTTTTTCTTCCTGTTTAAATAACAGTTTACTTTTAGACTTATTTCCAATATTCGAGTTCTTTGGAGTCGACGAGTCTACATTGTTTTTCAAACTCGTAGAAGTACCCTTTCGAGTTATTAATTTGGATTTTCCATTACTATTTTGTTTATTGGCCATTTTTGCCGTGAGAAAATTTGTCGTCAGAAAATAATTTTTTTTTTGACCGATACAAAAAACCAGCAAATTAATTGGCTTAGTAATTGCAGATTATCAAGATCAAAATTTCGAGTGGAAGTTCTTATCGCTATTTATTTATTCATTCATTCATTCATTTCTATTACTATACATGATATTGATGTGGCTTTATTTTGCCCGTTAATAAGACGTCGACAAAAAAATTTCAAGTGTATACTGGATAGTAATAATAAATACTGATAAATTTAATAATAATAATATAATAATATAATAATATATGATTCTGTGTGACAAAACTACAACCACCGAGAAAATAAAGTAAGTCTAAAAGCATTTACGGTGGACAATGGATGGTCCGGATTCGTCGTATTCTTGTTTGCTGATCCACATTTGTTGGAAAGTTGAGAGCTAAATAAGTAATAAAAAATATTAGTTTTTGATCATTAAGAACAAAGCAATGATCATAAAGAAATGATAAATACCGAGGCCAAAATAGAGCCACCAATCCAGACAGAGTATTTGCGTTCTGGTGGAGCAACAATCTAAAGGAAAACGAATGAATTAAAAAAAAAATAAATTTATTGATAATATATTAATGAAAATTGCTCGTTCTTACCTTGATTTTCATGCCTAAAGAGAAAAATAAAAGATTTAAATTTTATAAATAACGATTTTTTCAGTTAAAAATATTTTTATAGAATTTAACTTACTTGAAGGAGCTAAAGCTGTGATTTCTTTTTGCATTCTATCTGCAATTCCGGCATACATTGTGGTACCGCTATTAAAATAATAGCAAAAAACATAAATCAATTATAGTCGAGTGAATTAATTATTAACTCATAGGGTTAACTTACCCAGAAAGTACAATATTTCCGTAAAGATCTTTACGGATATCAACATCACACTTCATGATAGAATTGTAGGTAGTTTCATGAATACCAGCAGCTTCAAGACCCAAGAATGAAGGTTGGAATAAAGCTTCTGGAGCACGAAAACTATTTATTTTACAAAAGGTTAACGTCATCTTATCATAAAACTTCATTATAATTATATAAGGATAGGAAAAGTATTTGAATTACCGTTCATTTCCGATAGTAATTACTTGCCCATCAGGAAGTTCATAAGATTTTTCCAATGCCGAAGATTGAGCTGCAGTTTGCATTTCTTGTTCAAAGTCTAAAGCGACATAACATAATTTTTCTTTGATATCACGTACAATTTCACGTTCGGCAGTGGTTGAGAATGAATATCCTCTTTCCATAAGAATTTTCATGAGATAATCGGTTAAATCACGACCGGCCAAATCGAGACGTAGAATAGCGTGAGGCAAAGCGTAACCTTCGTAAATCGGAACGGTGTGAGTAACACCATCACCGGAATCAAGCACAATACCGGTGGTACGACCAGAGGCATATAGTGACAATACAGCCTAAATGTATGTAAAAATTGTGAGAAAAAGAGGATAAGATGCAAAGCAAAATTGAAAAATTGAAAATTTAAATATTTACTTGAATAGCAACATAGAAAGCGGGGGCATTGAAAGTCTCGAACATAATCTGTGTCATTTTTTCGCGATTTGATTTTGGATTAAGTGGTGCTTCAGTTAAGAGCACAGGATGTTCTTCGGGGGCAACGCGAAGTTCATTGTAGAATGTGTGATGCCAAATTTTTTCCATATCATCCCAATTTGTAACGATACCGTGTTCGATGGGATATTTCAAAGTCAAGATACCACGCTTAGATTGGGCTTCGTCCCCTACGTACGAATCCTTTTGTCCCATACCAACCATTACACCTTGATGACGTGGGCGTCCGACAATAGATGGGAAAACCTAATTTCAAATGAATTAAAAATTAAAAAGAAGCTCTTTTTTTATTAACAGCGACTTCAAAAATTTGACTTTTTACAAAAATTTAGCATACCGCACGGGGTGCATCATCACCGGCAAACCCGGCTTTGCACATGCCAGAACCGTTATCAATAACAAGCTATAAAGAGTAAAATACGTTATATTAAGCGACATTTTACAGAGTTTTACCAACTAAAAAATAATTAAAGTATAATAATGTTAAAGCATCGTTGAATTATAATTCAAGCAAAACTTACGGCGGCGACTTCTTCATCCATGCTCATGCTTTAGAGGTTTATAAAAACAAGCAGATGTATGAAAGCTGTATAAAGTTATTAAACCTGATGCAAAGTTCCAAGAGTATTTTCTGTTCAAAAAGGCAGAATTTATAATTTATATGGTAAAATACGTCTCAAGGGAGATAGGATACCTTCTTGGTTTAAAATAACGGTAAGAGTCCCGTTTTCGAGTGGTTTTTATAGAAAATGGGTGTCGGGACAAGAAAAATAGTCAGCTATTTATAATAGCTAAAAAAAATCTACTAATTGGACCTCCTAAAAGATCACAACGTTACCAAGAAAAATCGAGGATCGCTGCAAGAAATTAGAACACTGCCACGATTTCTTGGGAATGATTGAACTTGGCTTCATTTCTCATCAATTTCTTTTTTGGTTCAATGATATGACGTTTTTTATTAGGACTTGACTGCCAAACTTAGTATTGGCAAACTTTAAAACTTGTATGTTAAATTTGATACTAAGAGAAGTTTCAAAAATTGATCTGCCAATCAGAACATCAGAAATTTCGGAACAGAACAAACAACATAACGGAAAACTTGTTATCTTAAAATTTCAAAGTTACTTTTGATATCGATATATTCAGAGCTACTTTATTATGTATTATTGGTTAATTTTAGTAAAAGCATGCGTTTACTAATTTCACCCCCAAGTTCTAAATTGAACGCGAGTAATTTTCATCGCTCATGAAGCACTAATAAAAAATGTCGATGAGACAATTTTATATAATTTTATCCTTGACTAATCCTAAAATTGATCTTTAATATCCTTGACCAATCAGAACTTGGAATTAAAAGCACTGGTACAAGAACTAGTAAAAACATCAGTACAAGTATTACGAATAGCACTAGTACCAAAAGATAATAATTGTACCAGTTATAGTATTAGTATTAAATTACTAGTAGCATTACTAATTAAATAATATGTAAAATATATATATTAAATTTTTATTATAATTATACTATTAGATTCAATAAAATTTTTTTCATGAATGTAATTATTCCTTAATTTGTATTTCAGATATATTTATCTGGAATTTTTAAATTATCAAAGAATTTTTTTTATATAATTTTAAATTTTAAAAATTATAAATTATATCAATAATATAAAATATTACAAAAAAATAAAAACTTTATTAATTTGAATTAGAATTTGGAATAAAATTAATTTAATCTAAAATTTTGCAAGAAACATTTTTTTAGTACACAAAAAGCAGCTTTATAAGTGGAATTTTGAGATACAAATCATTTTCAAAAATTCATTTTTATTTTATTTTGTTTTATTACATATTAATATTGTAATTTGATTGATTAAATTTTTTGATTTTGTAATCTGATTAATTAATTTAATATTGATATTTGGTACCAGTAATATAATTTAGTAATATTATTAAATTTTACTAAATTTAAATCTTTCTATTATATAATTAATTATAATTAGCAAATTTTAACTATTATTTGGTAATAAAATATATATTTTTGCTATTATAAATATATAATAATAATCAAAAATAATGCAATAACAAAAAAATTTATTAAATATAATAAAAATATAAAAAATATAGAGTTTTTGTTTATATAAAATTTTTAATTTTTATTAATAAATATTTTTTAATTTTATATTAAAATAAAAATAATATTATTTATTTTAATATATAATAATAATAAAATATGAATTTTTTATAAAAATTTTCAAGTTATTAATAAATACTTTTTATTTTTATATTAAAATAAAAATAATAACATATATTTTTTTCAGATTTTTTTAGATTTAATTTGATCAAGTTATTTTAATAATATATAAAATTAATAATTTTTTATATATTTTAACTATCACAAAATTATTGATTTTATATACAATTAAAATAACTTGATCAAATTAAATCTAAAAAAATATATGTTAAAATATGTGATATTATTTTTATTAGTAAAATTGAAAATTTTTATATAAAGAGAAAAACTTATATTTTATTATAATTTATTATATTTTATTAATAAATTTAATATTATTGTATTATTTTTAATTGTTATTATATATTAAAATAGATATTATTTTTATTTTGATATAAAATTAAAAAATATTTATTTATTTTATTAATAAATTTTTTTTGCTATTGCATTATTTTTAATTATTAATATATATATAAAATTATATTTATTTATTTAATTTTTTGTTTATTAAATTTATTAAACTATATAAATTTTATTATTAATAAAAAAATTAAATATTATATAATAAAATTTTATTAAATATTTTATTGAATATTTTATACTTAGATATTATTGAATTATAAATATTTTATATTTTATTAAAAGAATTTAAATTATATAAAATAAATAAGTAAATAAATAAATAAATAAATAAATAAATAAATAAACAAATAAATAAATAAGTAAGTAAATAAGTAAATAAGTAAATAAATAAATAAATAAATAAGCAAATAAATAAATAAGTAAGTAAATAAGTAAATAAGTAAATAAGTAAATAAGTAAGTAAGCAAACAAGAAAATAAATAAATAAATAAATAAACAAGCAAATAAATAAATAAATAAATAAACAAATAAATAAGTAAATAAATAAATAAGTAAATAAGTAAATAAGCAAATAAATATTAAATTAATAAAATTAAAAATAATTAGTATTATTATGATTTAAAAATTTTTATAAATTTTAATTACTTAAATTATTAATTATATAAAAAAAATATAAATCAGATTATAAAAATTACAAATATTATAAAGGTTACAAAAATTATTTATTTTATATAATTATCTAATATTATTATTTATATTATTATAATATTTTAATAATAAAAATATTTAATATAAATAAAGAAATAAATAAAATTTGAAAAAAATATTAATTGATCAATACAAAAATTTAATTAATTAATAAATTATTTTTTATTTATTATTAATAAAATTTATATATTAATTAATTTTATAATAATACTTTTATATTATAATATTTATATTTATTATATATTATTAAATATCAACCAAGTTGCTAAAGAATATTAGTTTTGTATTGTTTTAAAATTATTTTATATTAAATAAATATTATAATTTATTAGTAATAGTGAGAGTTTATTTATAAAATAAAAAAATATATTATATAATAATTTTAACAATATAAAATTTATTAAAATCAATTAGTATAGAAATTTAAATATATAAATATTGATTGAATATTTATATTATAAGGTTATTTATTTAAAAATTTATTTATAATCATCAAGAAATTTTTATATCCGATTATTATCCAATAATCAATTATCATTGATTGTTAATAATCGATTATAATTGATTGCAATCAGATATAATTAATGATTATTAAAATCGAATATAATTGATTTTTTGTTTAGAATCGGTGAACATCTATAATCAATGATCATTGATTTTAAATAATCAATTGTAATCATTGCAGATCAATAGACAATGGGTAATCGTTTACAATCAATAATCAATTCTCATCGATAATTAATAATCGATGATAAATAATTATTTATTATAATCGATTACCCATTGTCAATCTGCAGCAATTACAATCAATTATAATCATTTACAATCGATTATAATCGATTATAATCAATTGTAAATGATTACTCTGCCAATTAATTCATCTTTCACAAGCACATGTACAATATTAAGAAGCTTTCAAAATTTA